TGCCTTCGAAAGACGCTCTAATTTCGCGTCGAGTATCCCGATTAAAGCGGAACACTGGCAGTGGTCTTTCGGGATCTGCACTGGGGGTTGGGTACCGTTTCGGGGGACTCTTCTCTTCGCTGCGGTATGCATTGCACCCTTGACATAGAGGCAGCTGGCACAGACAAACGGGTCAGGAGAGTTGGCTAGTCGGCTTATTTGGTCGTCCTGTAAACCCGGTTCAACAACAAATGGTCAACAACGGCCCGAACGATCATCCAATCGTGCGCGGGATGGGCTTTTTGGAATTAGTACCGCCTAACTGCGGGCAGCAAAGCCGTTTCGGTATGGAATTCTGGCGGAGCTAAAGTCGCTTGTAGCGAAGGTGAAAACAGTAAAAAGAACATGTGGAGCCCACCTTCATTATATTCTTTCACGGACGTCAAAGGAACCGCACAGAGACTACCATCAACCGGCATCCAATCAGGTAGGACGCTGCTGCTCCGTTTTTCAATACAATAAAAATGCTGGTATATCTAGCTGCAGCGGCCTCTGCAGCAGCAGAGTTGCGCATCTGGAATCTGGAAGAGGGTGAGGGGGCAGTCACTTTACTCAAATTACTTGCGTCCTGTTCAATTTTTTCTGTCAGACGGCATACGTCAATACAGAGGGAATTCATCGAGCAAGCACAAACCCCCTGTTTTGTCCTGCCGGCTGTGAATTGTGAACATTAACGGCGGATACATCACTAGGTTTCCGGGGTTTGAAAACAGACTTGGAAGTGTTTGGTGTTGTTGCTGAAGCCGGAGTTAAGCAGTCTGCAGTTGGGTGTGATGCACCGCGAGCAGAGCGATCGGCGGATACCTAGGTTTCCGGGGTTTGAAAACAGACTTGGAAGTGTTTGGTGTTGTTGCTGAAGCCGGAGTTAAGCAGTCTGCAGTTGGGTGTGATGCACCGCGAGCAGAACGATCGGCCGTGGCGTTAGGAACTGTGGAGAGAGCATTAAAATTTCAGCGAGGTGGGGTGGAATAGGAAACGCGAGAGTGTAAGAAATAGGGCGTCGGCAGTAGCATGTTCTTCCCATTCCGGACAGCAACTGTGTAGAATAACCTTCCTTGGACGGCTGTTCACGCTCCATATGGTACCTAGTTAAAATCACTTTTAGATGCAATTTATATCATTATTTGCACTTACTAGTTTACTGCCCCGCGCGGGGACAGTAAAGGGCAGTAATAAGCCCCTTTTGTTGCTAATGTCTTTCAGGTGAACGAGCGCTGCTGGATGACAAGATCAAACCCAACCTGGGGAGCCTGGGCGAGGCTCCGGTCCTGTGTATGAATCCTTGATACTGTTTACGATATAATCAAGCCTAAAGACTTAAGGGTAATAATAATAACAGTAATAAGCTTATTTCCTAGTGTAACAGCAGAACGGTATTTTTGGATAACGCGTGATATTAGAACCCCAAGGAAGGCGCAACAAAGTTTGAGGTTGGTTCTATAAGGCATTATTAACTTAAGACTGCAGGCCTAAACGGAAAATACTCGTCCAAAATAAACTGACCAACCGGACTATAAAGGTCCGAACCAAATTAGTAGGCAGCCCCTCGCGTGAGACAGTCACACGTGCATAAGGTCAACCACAAAATGTTTGGATGACCTCGAGGTCGAATGAGTGAAATGGTAGAGACAAATGCCGGTTCACACGCACGCATCTAACACAAGAATGGAGCGGGGTTATGAATAGAGACATAAAAACGTGGGAAATTTCAAATGGTGAAGTAATGGACGATAAACGCCAAATTCTTTACGTTGTCTCAAACGACGCCTTGGTTCTTGTACCCATCTATATTGAGTTCCGTTCCAAGGTACGCGTCGGCAACTGACATGAATGGTTAGAGTCCAGTGTTGCCACAGATGCCGGCTTCCGACGAGTCTCTCTAGTAAGCACGCTTTCGGGAACTCTTTTCATACTCTTCAGAATGCATCCCGCGTTCCAACTTGCAGGTCTCTTACTAAGCCATCTGAGCTCGCCCCCGCAACCATCTACCACCACTGGAGGCTATTCTTCACGAGTCTCATACGGTCAATCGATGACTGACGAATTTCTGCCTCCCCCAAATTCCCGTCAGAATAACAAGACAAATAACCGTTGTTTTCCTTCCAAGCGTCGGTCGATCACCCAGTGCGCTTCGGATACGTTCCCCCGAAGGGGAGTCCCACCTCATATTCAGCCTATTTGTCGAAGGCTACTCCGCCAGGGTGTGGTCACGATCTAGTCACATATTTGATAGATGGGATGGCCCGCATAGGTAAGTTGCCGACGGTAAATGCCTAGCCAATATCTATCGACCGATTTTCATCCACTGATAGAAGCTTAATGTCATTGGCCTCTGAGGTGCATCCCATGGGACTACTCAGTGTATCAATGCCCATAAAGATGGGCAGCAGCTTGAACCCGTTTTTTACCGCTTTACTAACGTTGTGTCTGACCGGGTACGTTCTCACCCCTCGTGATGGGGTGTCAAAGTTTAACGAGAATAACTTTTAGGCGTTTTAAAATTCGACTGTTTTGAATTGAGGTGAAGTGTGAAGTTGGTTTCGCCTCGTTTTCCGACTTTCATCCATGCAAAAACTCTGATACCGCCTTCTACTACCCGACTTCCCCCATTGAACAACTGATTTGCAATCTCTAGCCATGCGATAATCTTCTAAGCACATAAAGCATGCATCATGCTCCCACTTGAACCTCCGTCTTTCAGGAATTCCCATGAAAAGAAAGCACTGGCAGCCAGACACTGAGTAAGGCTGTTACCATTCCAATAGAGACGTGATAGGGCCGTTGTAACCTAAACGCAGCAGGCAACAGAACAGCGAGGAGGATAGTACAACCTACGAAACATGCCTATTACGTGAAAGGTTACCTTAGCGGCGGGAACAAAAACAACCATAACAATGGGGCATGATCTACGCCTTTTTCGCTATCCAAATCTGATACACACCACAGAGAAGCCACTCCAATTGATGGGCCACGCGACAGCCATTACGATGGGATGTAATGCCCTGATAACCCTTTACCGAGTGTGTTGTCTGGCGTATCCCAGCCATAAAATTGACCATTCAGTATTTGGCGACGTTCGGATAAAGGAGTTAAGCCATTCAATCATTCAACATATATTGAAGCTCCAAATCCCATTGCCATTTTGGGTCTAAAAGCGCTCAATCATTCTGGTGGCAGCACTAGCAAGTGAGAGGCACGGAGCATTGTGCACACTACAAATGGCAAACCAGAAGCTTCGCTTTTTAGCATGTGACCAAATGACCAGGGGTAGCAATAATCTGGCGGACCACACTTCAGATCTGTGACAAGGATCCGGTGACGTGGATGTCCACTCAAAGACATGGCCTTGGTACCTGGACTGGCTGAGGCAATGATGGACGATTTTGTTTTTCGCGTTCAAATATAAGTGTTGGTGGAACTGAGGGACATTGACATGCAGCAGAAACTACCAGCATTACCCTGTAATGTGTGCTTCTTGCTTCTTTCGTCTACCATAATCAGATAATGGTGAACGGCCCTACCCACATGCTGAGGGTAACAGCGTAGAGCAATCGTGCAAAATTGGTCATCATGACCATAAGATAGAGCACTTGAGATATGATTATTGCCGCGTTTGTCGTTACTACACACAACTTGCTTTTCGGGACCTCGAAGCCACCGTTCGCCCAAAGAGTTTTGAGTTTCTGCGGCGCCAAGGGCGATGGACATCTTTGTCTATCACGTCCCCGAGCTGCACTTCTTTAAAATCCACAACACGAGGCACACGAAGCACATTAACGTGCTTCAGTTCTTGAGCTGACCTTTGATGGAAGGCATCCGCAACAGAGTGGCTAGTGCCGGGAGTGTAATGGAGGGCAAATTCCTACTCACGAATTAGCTTTAGCAAGTGCGCAACCAGACGATCAGGACCGCGGAAGCTCTGCCATCACTATGAAGGATAATGGCCCTTCTGGAAAATGAACGGATCATCAGGAAAGTAAGGTCGTAAGGATGAATGAAGCAAACAAGGACTGGCATTCTGCGCAAGAGAGTACACTAGTTACGTTCACGTGAGTTTTGGACACCGTTGTGAAAGCTTCGTGATCAGCGAAACGTTTGGCGACTAACGCCAACGACTGATAGTTTGCTAGCGATTTTGTCTACAGAATTTTTGGAGAAATAATCTGGTGCGTTGGAATAGGTGTGGATGTTGATGCCTACTTATGACAGTTGAAAGTGTGGTCGCGTTCCAATGTCCAAGCAAATTTTGACCTTTTTGGTTGAGGCCGTAAATTCGCCCAACTTGCGGCAAACTTTTCATCGAATCTTTGACAACACGGTATGTGCCTACCTACGTAAACCACAAACACTCATCGGTTTTGGCCACCCCGCGACGTGCTTGACTTCATCGCAGTCCAACTTGACTCCCTCTAATCGGAGTAGTTGACCCAAAAGAGTAATTAGCATTGTGACAAATTTTACTTCTCAGTGTGGGTGGTTGAGTCAGCCTAGTAGCTGACAGTTGTGCTCATTTTGTTATGCCTGGGGACAACGACATCTAGGTGGATAAGGAAAAGTCTGGGCAGCAACTCCGCTGGTACCTTATGCATGGGTCGCCGATGTGCAGCTATCACAATGCCAGATTTGCGGAAGGGTACTGTAACTGTGAAGGCCGATTTTCAACAATTCATGGGCTGATACTAAACCTTCCAGCAGCCAAATGCCAAACCCAGAGTAGAAAACCGCATTGAGTCAGTGGCCACATCCATCTTATATAGCATGGGAAAGGGGTATGCAGCGTTTTCTGGTTTTTCCAATTAGCACGCGCCCCAGCCAGGGTGCAGAACTTGTGCAGAATATGCGCAGACCTTCCGCACACATAAGACTTTTACGCCGAGGGAGATCGAGACATTTAGGATTCACCAAGGCTCCTATATCTGTCTCGTATTATTGAAAAACCACAATATCATACATTTTTCGGTGCCTGCGGGATGTAAACCACTGGCCAATTTAAATGGTTTTGTTTTAGTATGCAGCGCCATTATTCTGAGGAAGTTCTGCATTCTGCTCGTCCTCATGTGCCGCGCTTTGGAAGCACAATGCATTTCTCTGCGAAACCCCTGCAAGTGGCATGAAATCTTTTGCGCTGAATGTTGAATAGTTTTGCATTTATACTCAGGTCAAAAATCAATTATTCTTTTTTGAAAGCTTTGGCTCACGGTTGACTTTTAGCTTGTTGTGCTATGGCTTCGGAAGTGGCCCCGCACGCGTTTGTTGAAAAATTCGGGACCGTTAGTCTCATCCTTCATGGCATTTTAGAAGGCCTTAAATTAATGCGGGAAGGATAACCGTGTGGTATTTGTTCGTTCATCCATTAATCAAAGCACCATTGCTGTTTTGCGTTACGAATAAATGTACTACAAACGCAGCAGGCGACCTTCAAGACCGACCGAAAGTCGGAGAACTCAAAGAAGCTAGTAAGCTAAGCTTGGTTCTAATAAAAACAGTACGTGAAGCACTAACTGGTCAGTGCGATATTGTCTACGGAGGCATGGCAACCATCTGGAAGTCACCTTTTTTTCTTTAACACAACCGTAATGACCGGCTTCTGGTTATTCGACGGCCAACCAAAAACGAGTTGGGCACCAGCAGGGCCCTAATGAATTATGGAATGTCGTGGTGTGAAATGAAGCAGTTTGTGGCCAATGGACTCAGCAATACCGTTGCCACTCGGGATATACACAACTACCGCCGGAAAGGTCGACCGGCTCTGTTGAGTGTATGCCGCATAGTTAAGTTTTATTTTGGCGGATGATATGCCTTCG